ATCCAGGTTATCTGGTGCCAATGGGTCGTCTGCCTACCTGCTCTGTCTTGCTTGCATTTGATCACACTGGGTTGCTCTGCTTGTTTGCTACTGCAACCCCCACCTTTATTACTGAGCCTATCGAAATATCAAGGTGCCAACTCCTCCCCTGAGCCATCTTGTGCCATACTATCCACTGTCTCCTGTGTCACAAGGTTGGTAGGAATGGAAATGTGTGATGGAGCATCCTTATGTTATCCTGCACAAATTCCCTCCTCCTGCCCCTTCTGCCAATGCCTCTGTCACAGTCTGGGGTTTTACTAGGAGAACAATATAATACAAGACAAGTATTTTAGAAGGTTATTTATAATAGTCACCCAAAGAATCATATACAAAGAGAGTGTGGGAAATCTGTCCACACACTAATTACCAAAGAATCCGCCCGAGGGCCTGGATCCCACAGTAATGTCCTGCATGAGTCCAGCTGAAGACCTAGAGCCCATAACAGTGCCTCCCATGAGTCCAACTGGAGGCCTAGAGCCCATGACAATGTCTCATGCAGGCCTGTTTCACGGATCTGTGCTGGGAAGGCCCAAAGGACAGTGGTGGAAGCTAGAAAGTCAATGCCAGCAAGAGGAAGGATCTGTGCTAGTAGGCTGAGGGATCTACATTGCAGCCAGGAAGTGATGCTCAAAGTAAGAACCAGAGCTCCCCTGAAAAGTGCCACAGCCATTCTCAGCAACAGTGAGATCCCACACTCCTTCAACAATGAAGAAAGCCAATTTCCATCAGGAAAGCCAACACAACAAGCTTCTCCAGAAGACTGAGCTGTGTACCTTCTTCCCCTCCAGAGCCAGGAAGTGATGGTCAAAGTGAGGACCAGAGCTCCCCCAAAGTGAACCAAAGCCATTCTTAGCGACCACAAGGCCCTGAGCTCCTCAGAAGATGACAACAGCCCAGTTTGTCAGGAAAGCCAGCATGACAAGCTCCTCCAAGAGAACCAAGAGCTCCTTACAGCTTCTAACAGCACCCAACAACTTCTCAACTCCCAATAGCCTCTCTCGGCTCCCAACAGCCTCAACTTCCTCTCCAGGTCTGCCTCTTACGCTGCTGGCAACAGTCCTCAGGTGGGCCTCCCACACCCGGCACCATGCTGTTTCGGTTCAGCTGGGTGTTACAAGTTGACCACCAGTTCTCAGTCCACGACAGCCTCCGGTCCTGCTTCTCTCTCCCAAGAGACCCCGCCTGGCCATGCTCCTTCCATCCCTTCAGCTCCTCTCATGACTGCACCAAGGGGAAGCATCTTCTTGCGAAGACGCATCTGGCTCCCACACAGTGCTACGTGACCCTTTGCCCTCTGACCCCTGTTGCCAGAATCCTTTAAGTTTGAAAATCAGAGGTGTTTCCCTGGCTTTTAAGGCTGCATTGGCAAAATAACAAAGACAAATCCGAGTGAGAGGCCAAGCTCAAGGTTTCGGCTTGATCCCAGATAGCCCCTAAGGGCCATGCCACATGAGGGTGACCTCCGTGCAGCCTGGGGGCCAGCCCGGTAGAACGCAAAACTGGACGCTCAGGGTCCAGCTCCTCTGCTGCTCTGCTTTCCAGGCAGGACACTGGGCAGATGGAAACCAATTTTAAGTTAAAAGACAAGGCTAGAGCTTCATTCAGTGATTTATGGCCTTGGCCGAGCTTCCCAAGACTGTAGAAAGAGTTATTCCTGGCCACGTTCCTTACTAGTCACATGCGTGAAATGGAAACATCAGCTTTGTCAGAAATATATTCCCTCCCCCTCTCCAGCTGTGTCTCTGCTCAGGTTCTGGGCGGAAGATGCTGGTGATAGAGCTGGGTGTTAGGAGAAGAATTGGAGAAAAGAACGCTTTACAACAAAACTCTGCCACCCCAGCAGTGGCAGTTACCAAGCACATATGCACAGGGAGCCTGGGGCAGTCAGAAGGGATGGGCCAAGCTCCCATTAGCACAGCCTGAGACATGCGTTTCTGTAAATGAGTAGATTGTGAATGTTTAGGTTTTCTTGTTTGTAATTTGTAACTTCTTCTCAACACACTGAATTTGTAATTTTTAACACTCAGCCTGCTCTTTCTGGTTGGGCAGCCCCATGCTGTCCCCTGCACTCTGTCTGTGAGATTCAGTCCAACATCACTCCAATTCAGGGTGACACAAATGACCCAAACCTAAACCAAGCAGGCTGTCCCATTCTCTTGGGCACAGGGATGGGCTCAGAAATGGACATATGTCAATCACAGCCAGTGAGATTCCTTGAGGTTTTCCCTAGGACTTCTCTAAAGGACACTCAACCTTTTCGCTTTGACCCTCCTAACTGGGAAGTCTAAAGCCTGTAACAGCTGTCCTTTCTCTGGTACTTGGACTCCGAGTCTAAAGCCAACATAGCAGAGTGTAGGGCAGAGAGATGGACAGTAACCAAGTCCTGGTGACATGTTTTCAGTCCCGTTGTGTCTGCTGCTAACTCTAATTCGGAATCTTTCCATCGCATGGCCCACTGGATTTCCCTTAGGCTAAAGTAGTCAGAGGTAGATTTTCTGTCCTTACTAGCCAGAGAGCCCTTATGTACAAATGCTGGTCAAAAGTACCTCCATAGTCAAAACGGAACTAAAAGGAAGGAGACAGGCCGGCCCTTGGCCTTTACTTTGGGAGCCTAGGTGCACAGACAGAGCACATCACCTGTTCTAATGTTGGGGAGCAGCACCGGGGAGTCCTCAGTGAGGAAGAGGAGAAACTCTAGACAAGAAGCTCCCCCAGGCAATGCCACCTTTTCAGACCTGAAACTGCTAAAAGATCGTCCCATTCATATTGAGTTTAATCTTTGTAACACCTCGCTGTATGTATTTACTATGATACATACTGCTGCTATAATAAAACACCAATCAGACTTGTATTTCCCAACAGTTTACTCCCAGCCGGGCATGGTGGTGCATGCCTGTAATCTCAGCACTCAGAAGTCTGAGGCAGGAGGTTTGCCATGAGTTTGACCCCAGCCTGGGCTACGAAGTGAGTTCAAGGCCAGCATGGAGCTGGGCGTGGTGGCACACGCCTGTAACCCCAGCCCTTGGGAGGCTGAGGCAGGAGGATTGTTGCAAGTTTGAGACCAGCCTGGCCTACAAAGTGACTCAAGGCCAGCCTGAACTGCATAGCGAGACCCTATCTCAAAAAGACCAAAAAAAAAAA